AGCTGAAGGATGTGGAACCAGAGACCAGAAAAGGGGAAGTTTTGTATTGTGCTGGGTGACAAATGCATCCACTAGGGGGGGGGGGTACCCAGCTGGGAGCATAACCACAGGAACACTTGAGAAGCAAGAGATCACTTCATCAGAAAAATTTTGTTGGGATGAGATATCCAATCTGTTACAAGATTCATAGCACCCTGGATGTGACAAGCAAGAAGATAGACCTGTTGAGATTGGGCCCAGAAAATCAGATCGAACATTCAAAAGCAAAGCAAATGAGATTAGATGTCCCCTTGATGATTGATGTAAGAGACAAAAGTCAAATTGTAAGAATAAATCATGACCAGGTGCCCCTGTACCACTGTCAGGAAATGATTCAAAGCCAGACAAAAAGCTAGAGGTTCCAAAAGGTTGATTTGTAGAGAAGCATCTGTAAAGGGGTGCACATTTGGACAGGGATGAGGCAGAGGAATTCCTGTTAAAGTGTTATCTCTGTTAAGCCAGGCAAAGTCGACTTGTAGGGAAAGAGAGTGGAAGATGGCAGAGTCCAAGGAATCCCAAACATGATTCCATTAATTATGCAGCACCCACTGAAGGTAATGAGGGATTCCATGGAAGCCCAAGTCCACAAAAGAGAAAAGAATCACATGCATGAAGAAAAGAAAACTTGGTTTCGAAAACCAAGATCTCCATCACCCTAAAATATAGAGGAGCAAGTTGGGCCATACTGAGGTAAGGGTTGAACAATGCTCCCAAATGAACAAGATACTAAGTGGAGATGAGATGGGATTTCACCAACTTGACAAGCCATCTCACACGAGCTGCTTCCTGTAGGAGGAAATGGGTATGATTTTCAGAGGCTTGTCGTCCGTATAATGGTGAAACTGTAAACTTTGGTTGTGAATTTGTTGGAGAAAGGCTTTCACCATGTGACAGAAGATGTATGACATCGATGCCAGACCGAACTTTACAGTGTGGAACTGAAACACTCTATCCCTGTAACAAACCAAAAGTAATGTCTGGATGTTGGAGAAATCAGTATATGAACGTAAGCATCTGAGACGTCGACCTTGGTCATCCATAGACCTGGAGTGAACAACCATCAAAAGGTGAGGAATCACTCCATGGTGAACCGTGGGAGGTAGATGAAGTGGTTGAGGTTGGAGATATTGATAACAGGACACCAATCCCCAGTCTTCTTGGGAACAATGAACAGCTGGAAATTAAAACCCAGAAAAGGGTGAAACACTTATTCTATGGCATCTTTGTTATAGAGATCTCGAACTGCCTCGGAGAGATGCTGGCCAGACATTGCATTGGATCCTGATGAGGGGAAAAGAAATAGGGTGTGGAGATAAAGGGCCGGAGCAGAAAAATAAAAAAAACAGATCCTTCTGTTAGCCCTGAAGAATCCAAGTGTCCAAGACAAAAGGTCGCCACAAATAGAAATCCTGGCCAACTGCACCATACAGTCTTGAAGCCCACGGGATAGTCACTCACGAAACTGGCGTCAGAAAATACGATGATCGATTTGACAATTCGCCACAGAAACCCAGGAAGGTGGCACTAGTAGAGGGGAGGATGCAGAGAGGTAAGACTCGAGAGCAGGAGCAGGAGGGGTTGGAAAATGAGAAACAAGGAAGGAGATGGAGGAATGTTGATATGCAGCCTCCACCCGAGACTCTAAAGTATCAGGGAGATCCCAAAAACAGACTGGTGCAAAAAGAGCCAAATGAATATCTCATAAACAGGAAGCAGACAAATACACATGTGACAAGGAGAGCCCAACAACAAAGAAGCCACGTATGAAGGGACAAGGCCAAGGAAGAGAAGTGCACCAATGTAGAAAAAAGAAGGGTGTATCCGCCAAAAAACCCTCAGGGGAATGGTGGATAACCTCAAAAAGGTGGTGAATTGATGAGTAATAATATAGGATGGTAGTGAGGATGAGATGGATACCAAAGAACTGGGCTGGGAAAAACCATAGTTTATTAGCAGGATCAAAGTCCCATGCCCGAATCAGACTTTAAGGAACGAGAATCAAAAACGGAAATTCTGAACCATAATATGCCAAAGCATGGGAGTCCGCTAAACGTAGGGGCCAAGGCATGATGGCACTCGAACGTAATTTCGTAAGAAACTGTTTAGCATGGACTCGAATATTAGGTGAGGGGGAGGGGAACTTAATAATCCAATGTCGAGGTAGAATGAAGAAGGGAAGGGAGAAATCATAAGACACAGGGGAAAGACACAAGAGGTAACATACCTGAAAAATGTCTAAAAATACAGATGAAAGATGAGGTAGATTGAAAGGGGTAGAACGGGAAAGCACAGCAAAGGCAGGAGATGGAAAAAGGATGTCCAAATCATCCTCTTCAAGAAAAGATGTGGCGGCATGGAGACTGAATATGGTTTCCAATAAGCAGTTGTGGAAATCGTTCCATTGTTATTTCTTTAAACAAGTATGTCCAGAAAAAAGGTAAACAATTATCTTGTTCAATCTCATACGTAAACTGAATAGACTTAGAATGATCAACACTGTTTAGATAATCAGCAAATGTCTTTAACTCAATATCTCTATGCCGCCAAACAAAGAACGTGTCATCAACAAATCTAATCCAACAATCAGGCTTTTAAAAAAGCATTATCAAGAGCAATACGTTCGAAGCTATCCATATATAGGCCACATAGAAGTGGAGAAAGAGGGGAACCCATGGTTAATCCAATATTTTACTCATAATACTTTTCATTAACTTTTAAAAAATAATTTTCAATACAAACTCTAGTTAAATTAATAATGTCAACAATTTCAATTGGAGAAATGGAAATTTCAACTAATCTGTCATGAAAACAATTAATAACATCTTCCACCAGGACTTTAGTGAACAATGAAACTATATGAAAAGATACCAACTGATTAGAAGAATTAAGTTTAATATTTTTCATTTTTTCAACAAATTCAGCAGAATGTTTAACATTATATTTATTCTTACTCTTCAAATACGAAAACCGTTGAGCAACGTATTGTGACGAGGTGCCGATACTGGATACAATAGGTCTAAAACTATTGTTTAACTTAAGAATCTTAGGTAAAGCGTAAAAACTGGGTGGAAAAAAATTGAAAGGATTAACTTTTTTTGTTGTTCAGGTAACAAAGTTATACATTGGTCAACATATGTTTTTATCAAGTTATGGAATTTTGTTGTAGGATCTCTTCTAAGGGAAACATACGAGCCATCATTTAACAACTGATCTACAGTAAAAATATAACTACATTTTTTCAACACCATTACACACCCTCCTTTGCCAGCCTGTGTAACAACAATATTATTGATATTATTTAAGGACTGCAAAGCTACTATTTCTTCTTTCGTCAAATTACTATTCATTTCAATATTTTATTTTGACATTATATCTTGGCATTGATATTTAATAATAGTTTTAATTTTACTATCTTTGACTTGTTCAACGTTGGATCCTATACTAGTTACTATATCTTTGATAGGTAGAATTTGTGGAGTTACTGCAAAATTTAAGCCTAAACTGAATACATTAACTTGCATGTATATAAGGTTGACACCAGACTTACTAATAAGTTTTGGGTTACATACTGGTAGTACTTCAGAAGTTTCCTTTTTCTTAGGCGCACATAAAGATTTAAACTTGATATCCAGTTTCTTACTATATTGTTCATTTTCTTTTTCAATTCTGTTCCAACAGTAATTCTCATTCTAAAGACTGCTGAAATCTTCATTAAATTCAGGATCTTCTCTAACATATTGGAGATATAGACAGTAACTTCTACCAGGATCTTCTCTAACATATTGGAGATATAGACAGTAACTTCTACTTTGGAGATTTCACTTCTTTTCTCTTCTATTTTGATCTTTAATAATTTTACTTTAGCTTTTGCAGAAAATGTGTTGTACATCTTCCTTTCTGATTACAGTTGATATTGATGAATTTTGGTATTACCGCACTGTTTCTGCAGTTAATTACAAATTTTAGTTGTGTTAACTTGCATTATAACTTACTCCGCTGTCGCAATAGATGTTCCGCCCGAATGCCCCGTTATTAGGCTTCATAAAAATTTTATTATACATTTTCAACGTTGATCTTTTTAAATTCTAAAATTTATTGCACAAGTTGCCGTAATTGAATCCTCAAGTGCAAGGTAATGCATGTGAGATATCATGATTTAAAATATGAGCATAATTTTGATGGGAATAACCTTGTTATGGAAGAAAAATATCTTGGTGTTCTGGCTGATCAGTCTTTTAAGCCATCCAAGCAATGTGTTGTTACTAGTGGCTGAACAAATAGAATTTTAGATTTTATCTACAGAAATATTGAACACAAATCTAAAGAGGTTGTAATGTCATTGGTTAGGCCACATCTGGAGTGCTGTGTTAAGTCTTGGGCTCTACTTCAGGAAGGACATTTAACTGTTGAAAAGGGTTCAGATGAGGGCTACTGCGATGATATTTGAGCTGGAGAGGTTATCATACAAAGAAATGTAGAGATCTCTGAGTTAGAAGGGATCTGATCGAGGTGTTTAAGATTATTAAAGAAATTGATTGTGTTGGTGAATTATCTTTTTTTCATATTTGACAGTGAGAATGATAAAACTAGGGAACACAAATATAGATTTTGGCAGGGTAGGAGTCAACATCAGGTAGGACAGCTATATTTTTCTAACAAGATGGTTGTCTTTTGGAACGGATTGCATTCGGATGTGGTGGATAAAGTTAATTTGAATACGTTTAAGGGAAAGCTTGATAAATATATGAGTGATAGAGGTTGGAGTTTAAAGTGTTTTACTATTTAGTGGATAGGACAACCCAGATGGATCAAAAGATTCCCTGTCCCCTGTTGTTCTTTAATATTTAAATAGGAAGTAATACAAATCAAGCTATTGGAAAACTGTAGAAATAGGAAGTAACACAGATCAAGCTACAAGAAAACTCACTAGAAATAGGAAGTAATAATGTTGTTACACTCACCTGCAGAAAAATAGAAAGTAGGGAGCAGTGGTAATCATAACAAAAACAGCCACAACATCTTCAGCCCAACAAGAACAGGTCAGTCTTAGCGGTATCATCAATAAAACAAGGGTGCAAGAGACCAGAAATAAAACGCGGGACGGCACTGTCATCTACAGAGTGGAAATTGTCTTGGTAAAATTTCTTTTGTAACTAGAAGTATTGTTTCAAAAGCGCTTATGATATTTCGACAGAAGACTAAATAGAAGAAAATAAAATACCAAATGAAACATGACCACGGAGTCTTAACATACTTATTATCGTCAGCTGCAGTATCTTTTCATGTTTTCCTTAATATAAATGTTAACATAAAAAGAACTACATAAGAAAACAATGCATCAGTTCATTAACTTTTCTTGTTGATTATTTTCTTGTTACTTTTAAACATATAAAGTAATAATACATAAATGGATAATAATTAATAATCGAATTAAGAATAAGAACCATTTTGTTACAGAAGTCTTAAGCCATTAGATTAAAATCTAAAAAATAAGACCAACCATGTTTTGTACGAATGTCTGGTAGCCAAGGAAACGAGCCTCGAAAGCCGAGTTCAGAAGATACAAAAAGGCTCCAACTGCCAATAATCCCTCCAGGATTAAACGAAGCTATTGTGGCAAGAATAATTATATTTTTCGTAAATAAATAATAATAATAAAACATAAGCCGTATATAAAGATTTATCGTAAGCTCATTGAGATTGTTAAACACCCAGTAAAATTACTTTCTGTCCTGCCCCCTAGTGGCACAGCGACATTTCTGTAGACTTACAACGCTAGAAACTGGGTTTCAATACCCGTGGTAGGCAGAGCACAAATAGCCCACTGTGAATCTTTGCGCTTAACTACAATCAAACAAAACAAACAAACTTTCTGTCCTAAATTATTAATAATGTCTTGTACTCAAAACGTCTTGTTCAATGTCTTGAAACATCTTTTACTCGCACCAAAATATCACACATATAATATACACTTCACCAACGTATGAAGTCTTATTTTTTCGATTTGCCCTTGAGGGGTAAAATTCCCCGAAACTGGTATAATTCAGTGACAAGTGGTAAATCAAATCATACATTAAGTTTTACATTTATGTTTTAGTATTTTATGCTTATTATTTCTCTGTTTCTTCTCAAACGACTACAAAAGAAGGGTGGAATAATTACTTCAAAAGAAAATTTTGCCACGACTACAGATTTTAGATATTTTTTCTGATCATGCATATTCTTATTTT